ATTGATACTCGTAAACTTGCATCATCCAATCAAAATCTCTTTAGTAGTAAAATTAATTATGCAGAAGAATATTCTTTCCTATTTCATATTTATACCATTTTAAAGTTCTATGAAAATTATTAGATTTTTAGCTTGTACTTTATTTATATTTTTTTTTAAGTTATTACATAAAAACTAATAAATATTTAACTTATTTCTTATATTACACGTAATTAAAAAAAAAAATGCGACAATTGTCGACTTGCCTTCTATAATTAATTGTGTGTGTATCCTTTATTTTCAATTATTAACGGAAATATTGAATTCCAGTAAATTTACGAATCGCGACAGACTATATTTTTGAAATTTTTTATCGAATTCACGAAACATAGTTGAAAAGTAGAACGTGACAAATGTTCGAAGAAAAGTTGATTGAAATCAGAATAAAACATCAACTCTGACAGTCATCGATACTTATGTTGAATGTGAATTTCCACATCGAGAACAGCAGAAATGCAAAGTTTGATCACACAGAGAATCTAACAGAAGGCGTTGCTTCGAAGTGCCATTTGAAATATTGATTTTCACATGATATCAAGAAGAAATTCAGCAAGCTCTGTGCAGACCAAGGTAAATGATAATTGTGACAGCAACTATTCTCAAGTAGCTACTTTTGAAATATAATATATTTTAGTTGGGATAAAAGCATAATTTCTTGAATATTAATTGTGAAATGAAGATATTATACAGAAAATTATTACACAAACACAAAAAAATATATACATATGCATACACCACACGCAACACACACACAAATGTAAAATATTTAAATTAAAATATAAAAATAATTAGGATTAATTTTTTGTTTATAGTTTTGTTAAGTAGAATTAAAAAGTTAGTATACTCTTTATAAGATGCTATATACAAATTATTTTTAAAAATATTTAAAAATATTATTTCTGTTTTTAACATAAAGCAATTTTTATACAGTGCCATTTGTATTTACAATATAAAATTAAATATTTGTATGCATAACATATGTTACTCTTTTTCTAAATTAGACAAAATTAATAAAACTTTTACAATAACATCATGTAAGTCAAATAGGAATAACAACTCTCTCTCTCTCTCTCTCTCTCTCTCTCTCTCCCTCTCTCATTATTTTCATTTTATAATAAAATCACCCATTACATCATATTGTACACATGTCACTCTCTAACAAATAGACAAAAAGTGGATTTTCAATTATATCCACCATCCAGTTTAATAAATTATATCGAATAGTCAACGCCAGTTCACACTACTATAGATGAAAGGCGATTCAATATCGAATTAATCTTTTCCATTCACTAATATAATTTCAGCATGCAATTTAATATTTCATTACTAGAATGCTTTTTTATGCGTCTTCAGTATTACAACAATACGATTTATTTTCAATGTAATAATAATTTTAATATATAATATAATGTATATATTAAATGATATAATTATATTATATAATAATAGCACTATGATCGATAAAACGTACACGTATATATTTCATGCACTTATTTTTTAAAAATAAAAAGCTAATTATTACCAATAGTAGTAATAATTCACAAGCACATAAAACAACATTTAATATTTGATACGATAATCACATGAGATGTGTCTAGGTATGCTCATACATCCTTCTTTTTTGTAAAATTATTTGTTTATTATAATAAAAATAATAAGAAGAAGAAGAAAAGATAAAAATCAATTATAAGGATTATTTTCATATTATTATTATTTTTTTTAAACAAGTTTGAAGAAGTGTAAAAAGAATTGCTCATATGCACAATATCTCAGATCACTCCCTTTATCCTCGCAGAATAAAGTTCAATTAAACATATGTTCAGACAATAATAATTTTAGGGTTTAAAAAGCATCATTTATTAATCTTATCAGTTTGATTTGAGATGACGTGAACCGTAACTACAAGTTAATTATTTTCGCACTTGAAATAACCATATCGCCATCTTTCTTTTATAGATACACAACGAGATAATACACCTGAATTGCAGCCAAAGTATTACCCTGTAATTGGACACCACTAATGCATCCTGTTCTCGTTCGTCGAACGTGAATGGAATAAGGTGACTGTGAAGGAGTTATAAGGAAATCGAAGAAAAGAAGAAGGAGATATGAGGATGGACTGTCACGTGCGGTATAAGCGTCGTTATTTAGTTTGATGGCGCAACCTATCTGTTTTCTTTATCGTATCTTCCATCTCGATTCGTCCTCGACACTTTATCAATGCTTCTGTTTAGCTTCCCATTTAGTATCAGTCTCTCGACTTTTTCAGCCATTGCTTTTACGCGGTTTCTCCATCGCATAATGCACTTCATTGCATTTCCATTCGTATCGTACATCGACCGTTATCATTTTTATTTTCCAAGGTTTAAGGTTTCCTTTCTTTCGCTTATTCGAAACTCGCTTCGTTCATTCCATCTGTGACAAACCCTTTTTCGACGTGTTTTCTCCCCATCTCGTTTACTTACCCATTGCCCTTTCCATCTTCTCAGCGAATACTTTCTATTTTCAAACTGAATTCCTATTCTTCAGCGTCTACTTCAACGTAGAACGCCGCGTTGCCCACTTCAAACTGCGATGACCTGGATACGACCTTATCGTTCAATGCTGTACGATGTTATAACGTCCTTTGCCATTCCGCCATACTCCGATTCAGAGCCCGCAGCTTCTGGAAGCTTTAGTTTCTCTCGCAGCTCGAAGATGCTAAGCTTGAGATAGAATCGACGACACTCGAACGTTTCAAGAGTTTGCAATGGTACTCGGCGCGACCATATTTCGTTCTCGCGAAAGCGCGATAATCTGGCCAAACTTTCATTTACTGAAGATGGTGCTCAACTCGAGTTCGAAGACAAAGAGAAGGTAAGGAAGCCAAAGAGAATGGTAGCGATAGACAGGACCAAAGAAATTGAATCCATTACGCGGTAGATCCGACGATGAAATCCTAAAGAGATTTATCTTACGCCGTGCCGATGTTCTCGAAAGTTAAATGTTCTTTTGGGCTACATTACGATAACAATTGGGATACTTTACGATAACAAGAAACTCAATCTGATCGTTTATTATAATGCGAGTAATTCAACATTGTATCACATTGACTTCTTTATTAAAAAATTCAAAGTTTAACAATGAAAAACTCAAGTTTAACAATGAAAAATTCAATCATTTATTAGTATATCTTCAATATTCAAGGAAAGAATGATTGATATTCGTTTATGTCATCAATGATAATTGCAATTTCATAATTCTTACAAAGTCCAGTCCCTTATCAGTTTATAAAATATTGTACATAAATTGCAAAAACTTCAATTCAATTGACATTCGCACAGTTTTTTGCAGTGAATCAAATAACTGATAATAACAAGCTAAAAAGCTTGACAGTGAATAGATTTATGATGTAGTGATAATCATGGTTTCATTTAGCGAAAGGGATGAGAGCCTGGATGGAAGAAGGAATAGAAATTGAATATATTATGGCTGAAGCGTCCCTGTTAACGCAGGGTCGTCTATCTTACTGATTTTCTTGGCAAATTTGTTCGCTCCTTAGGCGATGCATTCATATCGCTTTTAAACTTGATGGAATATTACCTGCTATATAGCGTCTATTATTGTCAAATAAACCTTCCTAAATTTTATGCAGGTTCTTTGTTTCTCAGATAACTTTTATGCATACTTGTCATGTTTATTAACAATATCTTCAGTTTAACTTAATAATTTTCTATACTTGATTAATTTGAACGTAATCTTAATAATTCTTTCAAACGTAATTCTTTCAAACGTAATTCTTTCAATGTAATTGTATAAATTATTTTAAGAAAACGCTTGCAACTTTTTTAATTTAATACTTAAAGAGAATACTTGCTTCTTTAGTTTTATTTTAGTATATATGTTTATTATAAATATGTTGTAGAGTATAATAACGACATAAGAAAGAAATGTACATTTCTTATACATTTATATGTATATATGTATTTTTATGCATGCTTATCAAAGATCTCTCGAGGTAGCAAGCTGCCCTTAAGTTATAAGTTATTGGATTAAATATCAGAGAGAGAGAAAGATATATATATATATATATAACAAATATCTTGTAACGTTAAAAATGTTTTATATGTAACATTCAATATCGGATTGAATATAAGTTTCGAAAAATCTAAATGAGTATATATGAAGTTTAAATATCATAAAACGTTTATTTAAAATACTTTTACAAAATTTCCAATATTTAATCAGAATTGTATACATATATGTATATTAAATATGGAAATTAAAATCAGAAAAAAATGTTTTCAATTTTTAGCTACCCAATGCTCCTCAAAAAAAAAAGTCATAAATGTTTTCTCATTGAAAGAATAATATTAAAAAAAGCAAATTTCAAACATTTTTAATGGCAAAGAATTAAATTTAAACACAAATTGTGAACTGCAGTAGTAAAAAAAAGCGCTACATATTTCTCTCTCGAAATATAAAATACGCGACTTTTAAGTTAGAAAAAATGAGAAGCAATTTATCAAACAAATTAGTTTTTAATTAACTTTAGTCATCTAATTATTATGCTTTTTTAAAGCTTTTGAATTTATAATATCTTTTTTGTTATAAAACAAATTTTATATGTATATATATATGTGTATATGACAATTTCATATAACAGATATAAGATATCAAAAACAATATTTATTAAAAACATCTTAAATGTTAATAAAACCTAATCATTTATAACATAGTGATAATAATTCTAAAAGAAATTCTTAATATATACATATATACATATATACATACACAAAATTAACTTAATTAATAATTAAAAATATGTATGTATGTATGTATATGTATTGATAATTGTTAAAGCCTGCAACTTTTAAATATTTTAGTACGAATATCAATAGTAATATGTTGTAATATAACGGCTACTTTTACAAAATCTAGTAGATATCGTTACATTATCGTCCATTATATTTCCACAGTATTGTTAGCGTTCGGAAGCATTCTCTCAAGAAAGAACGTAATTATAACGATGTTAACATGAATACATTTTAAGAAATTACGTTAATGCACTAGAAAATCCAATTATTGACACGAATAAATAAGAAAAGAGCACATTTAGCGACTTTGTAGGGTGCCCTTATGAATTTCTTGCGTTAAGATTATTTAATGAAAGGAATAAAACGACATGAGTGTCGTTTGAAGGTCCAACGATGCAAAGCGGAACAAAGGCGAGACAAGCAGTCTATTATGTACCGAGTCTAATAACAGCTTACCGGAGCTTACTAAAGCTTCCTGAGAGCTCCTAGAAACGAAATGATTGTTACGGATATCGAACATAGCAAAAAGGTAAAACCAATGAGATTTTTAAAAAATTTGCTAAAGAACTCCTTTTTTTATAGTAATTTCTGTTGTCGTTAATTCTTTATAATAGCGTAAGAATCTGAGAAATCTTTCCGAATTAATCGGCACGATTCGGAAAAGTACATACAAAATGAACATAGAGATGAACTGAGTCAATATTTGCTTAATTTTTAATGTTAAAAGAGTATCCAATCAACTTCTGTTCATATTTATAATAATATTGCTAATAAAAGTATTTTGTATTTTTAAGAAGTTAATTTTAATAGTTTTTATAAAAAAGAGAAAAATTAATATTGATTAATAAAATTAGTTTATCTTAGATTAATGCTATAGATGTAAAAAATATACGTGTTACGTATATATAAATTGTTAGCAATAATGTGTAACAAATAATTGATTTTAAAATAAAAATTCTGCAATTAAAAGAATAAAGTATTTGTAACTAATTATATTTTGAGCGTTTAAAATGAGTGTCATTGTTTTCACATGACCATTTACATCACGCGTTATTATTTATCAATTTGATGGATTATTTGAATTAGTTTATGTATTAATGATTCATTTTCATTATCTTCCGTTTAAATATTTTTCTTTAAAAAGCAAGTTCGTTTATTCAAATAATATCTGTCATTAAATGGAAGTATAATTAGTCAAAAATATCCTACATTATCTATGAATATTGGACGGAAGTAGAACATTTACGAGAGTACTTTGACGAGAATATCGATTAGTGTGACATCGTTATCTTGAAGGAACTATCGACCCGATTTAAGGAGCAACAGAGAAAACACGCGGACGTCAAATATTCAATGAATGAATTCTTGAGTTTCGCGAAGGACGATAATTCGTCGCGCAGCAATAATCGAGAAGATCATTTGTCTTCTTTGAATCACGAATAAAAAGGAAAGAATAATGATCGTCTGGTAGCTTTACCTTTCCGGAGCCCCTTGAGTTACATAGAAGAACACCGGCAGCGTGAATCCTGTATTCTTTGTCGAGTTGTTCGTGTTGTCCTTGAATTTTCCTGCAGACAAAGAATTTATCAGAAAGATTAATTTAAAAGCATCTCTAAAAATAAATGCAATGCATAAGCTTTCTACACACTGCTAAATTAAATGCATTATATTGAATAAAATTACAATGAAAATTGGTTGTCAATAGCTAAAACGTACGTGTAAACATACCATAATAATTGCAAATCATTGAAAGTAAAAATTATCTTTTAATCTTTAAAAAAGATTTGCATAAAAGAATCCATTATTTCAATTTTGCGTATGAAATTACGAAAGTATACGAACAGTTTGGCTGCAGTTTTAGGTGTCTTGGCTACGAGCCTAAATCGCCATAACGAGAAGAAGATGACATTTTCACAACCCACTGATACATTTTTCAAGAAACTCTTAGCCAGTGATTTATAAACTGGAAAAACTTCTCGCATGAGGCAACTTTGGCAATTACGAGAAAGCAAACAATCTTATAAATTAAAGTTTTTCCGCTCGCCTCTTCGCATGATTTTGTGCATGCACTTGTGATCACAAGCACATGACAGACTTGCGCAAGAGCGAACGGGAGATCTCCATCTATCTGGGAAATTCTCCGGAGCTTGACGGCGCTTGGTAAAGTTCAGAAGGGAATTAATTGCGCGGGCGAGAGGTATCGCACGAGCTTTTTTGTCGATTAAGCTGATTTTGAAAGCGGTTGCAGGATGCTTTAACACGGCGCTGGCGATAACATGCTAATCTTGCCTACAAAGACTTTGCTAACGTCGTAGATTGTACATACGTATACAAAACATTCTGCTCGGGGGAATAATATTAATAGAATTGAAAAATATTTTATGTCTTCACAGATATTTTTAAATCTATTAATATAGAATGCCAAAAATTCCTCTCTTAATATACAAAATATTTATTGTAATAATTTTTTTGAGCGCATATAATAAAAAATTTTGTTTTCAGACTTTATTTCAAATGACAAAGAAATAGCTGTAGTAAAAGAAATTTTCAAAATATTCTTTTTTTTTTCATTAAAAGATTAAAATCACTTCTTTTATTATAAATAGTTAAATATAAAACAGATACTTTGTATAATGTTATATAACGATTTGATTGATCGACATCACCAATGTCAATCAATCATATTGTTCAATCTTATATAAAATTTTATATAAGATTAATAATAAAATTGTTATATTTTCAATCTTTGTATAAGCAATATAGATTTTCTTCACGATATTTGTCACATAGATATTTCGATCATTTTAACAATGTTCAACAAAAATATTTTAATAATAATAATTTAAAATTTTTGAAAATAAAGTATTCCAAATTTAAACAAATAATTTACTATTCTCAAATAATAACTATTCTAAAATATTTAAAAATAATTTTGTATAATATATTTACGTCCATTTATCATTTAGTCTTTTTTCAACTTTAAGTTAAAAAATACGTGGATAAACGCGCGCACACAAATATAAGGAAAACAATCTTATTGTCAATCTTCAAAAAATAAAAATATAATATATATTATTGTATGTCTTTGAACAAAATAAATTAAATCTATTCAAACAGATATCTATTAAAACTTATTGCGTTATACTGCTAGATAAACGCGAGACGATGGTAAAAAACAAGATTGTTTAGGGCTTTGAAGACAAAATAAATAGTGAATTATAATAGTTGAATTATACCTATGTCTCATCACGACTGTGATGTACGATTCGTTATATTTTTCATCCCTTACAGTTTTATTATATCGAATTTATAAACATAAGTTTCTTCTCGTTTAATATCTCTCACAATATGTATACTAACATATATATATATATTATATATACTGCAGTAATATACAGTAATATTTTATCGAATAAATTTGCATAAGCGTTATCGAGATTCTCTTTTTCTCCAGACATTCTTTTCAAAAGATTTTCCACGTTGCCAGAATCGATTTAAGTAAAGGTTACCCATTCGATTTCTACCGCAAAGTACCTAATCTTTCTCCTTCGGGTGCACCTATCTCTTGCCTTACCAAGATCATCGTAGCAGCCACAGAATAATGAATATGTAGAAGCTCTTATCAATATATCAAGAAATATTGCATTTATTACTTTTATAACTCTATTATATTTACTTATATTGATCTGTAAATCTGTTAATATCTGTTAATATAATTTATCTCAAATACCTAATACAAATTATAAACAAATTTTAATCTTATATTTTTCACTTATGTAGCTGTCTAAATGATCGTTCATTTGAATGCATGTTCTTTTGTGTATCAGAAACAAAGATTAGGAAATTTCTAAATATTATTATTTCATAAATTTATCAATCTGCATAATCCAAGAGCCAACCGTGAAAGGGTTACCTTATGCAAACACGACGTGAGACGACATCGCAAACGCGAAGGGAGAGCTATGCAAACAACTTCGTATTCGTATACACGTGAAAAAGGAGTCTCTTATCCCGCTGACCTGTTCTCTTTCTCAAGATATTGCTCTTTTTTACTATGTGCAAAGAGGGCGAGAATAATTTTGAAAGGTTTGCAAATAAAATTAAACATGCACATTTGAGAACGACATCATGTTTAGATTTTTAATTTAGAATTTCGTTACAAAATCAATAGGAAATATTTATCGATGTGCTACTCATTCAAGCATTCATCATTAAAATCAATTTAAAATCAAATTAAATCAGAACTCAATTAAAATCATTTCAACATTAAATCTTTAAAAGATCAAGTTGAAATCACGTAGTTATATAAACATGAAATCATTTAAATAATTCGAAATCATTCGAAATCATACGAAATCGTTATTAAATTATTTAAAGTAATTTCAAATTTATAAAAAATCAAAATCACTTTAAAAAATCACATAGGAAATCATAAAAAATTGAAATCAATTAAGTATCCCATTAGTGAGTGAGTAACAACCTCTCCGTATTTACAATAAATCATAGAATTAAATTTCACACAACGATAACATACTACAAAACTTGTGATGCATATTGTAAACTGAAAAATTAGTTTAAAGTTGAAACTTTGATATTAATGAATTAAACTTCATTAAGACGTAATTTTGCTCGTTATATTCACTTATTGTTGAGCATTATGCAGAGTATGCTGAAGTAACGCGATGAAACATTTTTTGATGAGAGTAAAAAGTGTTGCGATAAAATTATATACTACTCCGTTACAGGAACGCCCTCGCTAAATCTTTTAGAAGTTAAGCTCGCATTCCCATGAGAGTAGATTCTAACGTAAAATTAGCGTTTACTCTACGTTTTTAGTTACCTCTTAGTAAATGTTTTATTCGAAAGCCTTTATTTACACAAACAATTCCTTATCTTGGTACATATCAAATTGGCAAGAATTGTCTCTGTAAAAAGAGATTCGCATAAAATAATTTTTAAAAAATCTTACTTTTACAATAAATATAAAACTATTGATCCTAGAACGCTATTACTATTAAATGATATAATGTTACTGATACGGAAAGGAGAAGAATCTGTAAGGGCCGATTTCGGTTCTATCCAAATTTTGTCAAAACTCATAAAAATTTATTTCTCGAGGACAATTATATTCAATTTAAATGATTTTAGCTCAAATGGAAATGGTGATGTTGCCATATTTATTCTGAAATTAATATTTTGAATATACCTGATTTTTTTATTATAAAAAACCTATTAAAAAATCATGATAATCGTGTAGGAAAATGAATCATTCTGGATTGGCAATTCTTTCAATTCTCTTTGCATTTGATATCGATGCTCTTACATATATACTCGTATTAGAATTCAAATAATACGTAGCAATAAATTTAAAAAAAATGATCAATATTTGATTTTCTGTATAAATTATCAACAAATGTGTGTATGCGTGCGTACGCGCGCGCTTACGTTTCTGTATGTGTGTACATCACAGATATATAGACAGATATAAGAATTTCATAGTTCGTGACTCCTGTAGTATTTTTCTGGTGTATGGGGAAAGGGATGTGCGTGTACGCTCCAAAGTACTATTCAGTGGGGTGTTTAATTCACGTAAGTCCCCTCTCATGGATTGTTTGCTTATTGTCTTTATATATTTTTGTGTACCTATATTTTTATGATTTATAATTTTTCATAGTTTTATAGAAAGTTTTTCATTAAACCATTAGATATTCAAAATATTAATTTCGGAATAAATATGGCAACATCACCGCTCCATTTAAGCTAAAATCACTTAAATTAAATATATTATAATTGAACTCAAGAGATAAATTTTCATTTGAGTTTTGACAAAATTTAGATAAGACCGAAATCAATCCTTATAACTCTCCTTTACATTCGAGGAAATAAATCACTTTTAATTAATGTAACACAAGATTTTCCACATTTTTATTTAAAAAATTTATAATTTAGACTTTTATAAACACAAAAACAAATTAACTAGAAAGAAAGAGAGAGAATAAGCACTATCATAAGACACATAAGACACTATCAAATTCAATTCTAAAATGAGACAGGATAAACTTACTGAAATAATGGTACCACTTAAAAAAACATTTTTATAATAAAAAAACATATGACAAATAATGCAATAAGATATATAATAATCAATTCTTTATTTATTATATTCTTTATCTATATTATTAAGTTAACAGTTCTTATGAATTCGAAGATTAAAAAATAATCAATATGTATTTAAAAACAGTTTTTTAGAAATCTAAAATATTTAGAAATAATGGCTTAATTAATTCATACCATATAAATATATGAGTGTTTTAATCTATTTTCTCTTCAAAATTCATGTATCCAAATTCATGTATCCATTTGCATTACATACATTGTATCGTACTTTCTTTTATATTTTTATTGCACAAAGTACAATACCAACTTCTTTTTCTATTTCCCTTTATTCTTTTTCTTTTACTGCATATTATTTCTAATAAAAAAAAACAATTGTAACAGTAAAGAAAAAAAAAGAAAATAGTAAAAAGGAAATAGGGGGAGGAGGGAGAGGAGAAGGAAAAAGGAAGAAAGAGAGAGAGAGAGAAGTAATACGTTATTTCCTACCTTACTCTTTTCTATACAATTATACATCATCTCCACATCAAACTTAGATTAGTATTGTAGGGAGGATTAAAATAGTACTGATTAAAACAATTAATTTACTTACATTTTATAAAAACTTATACAAAAAACTATATAATAAGACAACAGAATATATCGTAAATTAAAAGGAAACTTTTGCATTTTATACATATTAATTTAACAATTCAGATTTTTAAATATCATCAACAATATCTATACAAATGTTATACCAATAAAAGATATTTTAAGAAAAAACTTACGATATAGCATGCAGCAATTCTTGTCGCTGCTTCTCCTTCACTTTTACGCTTCCACCTTCCTCAAGAGCTGCTTGCAATTCTCTTTGCAAGACTGCCAATTTGCGACGCTCACCCTCCAAAAGTAACGAAGTAACCTGAAACAAAATGAAGAAAGAATTATTTGCTATTTCGTTGAATGGCAATAATAAAATTATATAGTAAAATAAATAAAATTTTTGGCTTCTTGATATGTAGCGTATCTCAAAATAAAAAGCAAAAAAGCAAATTGATTGTCAAAAGACAACTTTATTTAATTGCTATGGAACACTATTTTACTAATTCTCTCTCTCTCTCTCTCTCTCTCACACACACACACACACACACACACGCGCGCGCGCGCGCTCGCGCATTTCTAGGAATGATAGATTATTAATCAGAGTTGTGTTGTATACTTCAAAATTGCGTTTACACGGAATATTTATGTATTTCTGTTAATTTATACGAATTTTTTTCATGTACAATAAGTAATGTAAAATATGTAAATTTATTATAAATTGGAAAACAATACAGAAAAAAAGCAATTAAGTTTTATGAATGTTAATATATTTGACATTAATATTCATAAATAAAAATAAACAAGCTTCAGTATAGTCCGGTGCAACAATAAAGAACACAGACATGATCAATACTATCTAAAGATTATCAATTAGGTCATTTAAAAAGTATCCGCGGATTTTTTGTTCAATTTTTGAATGAAAAAACCGCGGATACTTTTTAAATGACCCAATACATAAATGACATGAAAACATAGTTCACATAGTTTACATTGTACGTATACATGTAGATATTAGATTATATTATTATATATTTCATGCATAATGCATAATCTTGCTATTAGCTACGCAAAATAATGATATTATAATTCGAAGAAAGATATAATTATAGAAACGTAAAATTATTTTCTGAAATAATTATTCTCTGCATTAAATTATTATGGTAAAAAATTTTTTAAAAATTAATATTGCAAAAATTAATTTCTGCAAAAATTCGATATTATTTTGAGCAAGGTGATTTATTTGCTTCGTGAAATACATAGATACTAAATAAATTTTTAGCGAAAAAGTTAATTCTTGTTATAAATCAAGATAGAGTAGACCCTAGGTATATAAAAGGCGCAAAAGAAGAAACTGCAGTATTACTTTTACCATCTGAGAACGCATATGATAAAAAAGAGATGTTGAGAATTTATCAACTGATGGCAATACAGTTTTTTTTTTCAATAATCACATGTTGGTATAAATTTTTAACATTTTAATTTATCAACTATCGATATAAAGCTACCAAACTCAAATTAATTTAAAAAATAATAAAATAAAATAAGTCTTTGAAAATAATAAAATAAAATAAAATATACCTAATAAGTAGTATCATAAATTTTTATATAACATAAATAATATATCAGTAAAAAATGTCAATTTATAAAAATCTAATTTATTCTATTTAATTAAATAACAATAATAACAAATGCGATTGAACGCACTAGTGAGCATTAGCGCCTACTAAAATTATTGTGCACTAATCTATTCTAAAAGTAAATATTCAAATGAAAAACTGCTCGATACATATTTTATCAAACAGAATAAAATTTCTTGTATTAAGAATTTTGTGATTTAATATGTTTCTATTATTTATTTTAACTACGAAGGGATGCATAAATTCAAACTGTAAAAGAAATAATCTTAAATAAGGAAAATCAAAAATATAATGTACATTACATTTACACGCGCGCGCATATACACACACACACACACACACACGCACACACACACGCACATGCACGCACAAATCTAATATACAACGCAGTTCTCCAAGGAATGTTCTAAGAACATCCAAAGGAGGTCTCCATGATTCTTTAGGATGTCTTTCAAAGAATCATGTAGGAAGTAAAAGTTTTATATACACTCTTATAAATAAAAAATATAATAATTGCATTAAATTATTAGGTGTTGGAATTAATTCGTAGCGTTTTACAAGTGATGGGAAGTACTTTCATTAATGTATTTTTTAATGCTCATGTGAAATAAATAACATTCTTTCATTAAAAAACGCTACGAATTAATTCCAACACCTAATATAAGACTAGCTTGAGCGGCGCAGCTTTCTTATTACACTTTCTACTAAAAAGCATCAATTATGAGCACAAACAAAATTAATAGGTTAAAGAAACGAGTTCTTTATAAATGCTTCGAAAAAGGACAGCGTAAGAAACCTCATGTTTTTATTTATACCTCGTAACGATTTCAGTTTCCCTGCTGCGTCCACGAGCACGATAAATCGTACAATACGCATCAAACGCGCTCATTCGAATTCACGCTTAGCTCGCGCGCGAAAACATCTCATATGCAACGACGCGTGCAAATACGCACGCGCGCACGTGTATACTTAAATCATTCATATACTTGTAACACAAGTATTGGTCCACGCGTGCAAGCATATATATGTATACGCGCATATATACGTGAGCGAAGAGATGCCTGAATAGATAAAAGGAGATACGAGCCGCTTGCCGCGACGACTCGCCCCTAAGCTCGTTGTGCTCGACGGAGGATATGAATGTACTCTATAATTGGCCGAAAGCACTGGACTTCCTACGATTGTATGAGTTATTATTGCCAGATTATGCTAATTTCACAAGAGAGATGAAAGCTTGCGTGGATGCGCTCACGAATGCGTATCGTGTTGCTCTGTTCGTTGGCGCACCACTGTTAACTAGTAGGTAGTCAACTACTAGTTGTCCTAGGTAGTCAACTACTACACTGTTAATTATCTCTCCCATTGAGAGATAATTAGAGTAAAATCGAAAGATATCTTTAGGATGTTTTACATTCTTTGTCCCTTTTTTATATTATATACAATTTTTTGTACTTTAATCTTTTTCTCTTTAAAAAAAAAAATTAGAAGTCAGATAATAAGTGTAGAATAATTGTAACAGAAAGATATCGAGCTGTTGTAAGAATTTTAGTTAAATGATATATACAGAAAGATAAATAATTAAATAATCATCGATTTCCATGAGAAATTATTCAATTAATTAATCGCTAGCAGTCAGATATTGCATCATTATGAAATATTATACGTATATATTTTTTTTAATTGATATTTTTTTAAATTCTTTTTTATTATAATAGGTTTTATTTTAATTATTATTTACATATTTTCGTTTTAATGTATCGAGAGGATAAATTTTGTTAAAAAGTGCTCCATATATTGTATGTTGTTTGCACTGCGGAGATATATGTGTGCATAGCAATCGCAAAGGATTAGAACCATCTAATACTTCGTGGCCGCATCGCGCATATTGAACATTTGTATTCCAAGTTGGAATTTAAATTATATCGCATCGTAGCTAATATAAATAAATTCGATCCAAGTACGTAGTATTTATAGTACATAGTATTTATACTATAAATTATATGATAAATAAATCTTGATACATTTTTGTACGTATAATAAATAATGATTTAGAGTTTATCTCGATTCACGCATCGCAATTTAAAAAACGTGAAATACACGATAATAAAATTATAGCTACTCCAAGCAAGTCCAAGCAATTGTTTCGTTTGCTTTGCAATGCAGTGTTAATAAAACGGAAATTACTACACTTGTATGTACATTGCTGCAGCATTACAGAAGTTTTGTCCAATTGGCGGATTAATATTTTTGTATATTTTATTAATACGCATAAAAGAAAGAAAAATAATCTCTGACATAGAAAAATACAATTTCTTTCTTTTAATAGAATAGTTTTCAAAGTATAACAATTTTAAAAGTACTTGGAGGAAATATCGAGATCGTGACATATCTATGATAAAACCTCATTACATCACAAAAAGCTTCAAATTGAGTCAGTTACAAATATTGCGTTATGATTAATCACACGCATATGTTAGTAGATAGATTTGAAGAAAGAATTCGAAAGAACTTCTTTGCAGTAAAAATTTCAGTCCATATACGTGCTTGATTATAATTAAACATTTATTTTGACAGGCATGCGGATAAATACATTTATTCCATTTTAAGATTTCGTTATTTTCATTTCGCTATTTTCAATTGTTTGACCGAGTGTCATAATAAGGTATTTTTGAAAGAAATCAATTATGCAGAATTAAATTGTTATCGATAATTTTTCTCAAGAAATGATATCTAGATCATTGAGATGTCTTGGCTCTCTTTGCAAGAGAACTTTTTCTGAGAGATGTAACTTTTCTTCAGATTATTATCAGTCGAAAATCACAGCAGTGCAACGTGTCGATTATGTTCACGCGATCATCGGAAGTTTCCATACGCCACCGAAATCGGAACGTGTACAAGTGTGCTCGTTGCCAAAGCTTCGTTATTGCAGATCAGACTATCTTAGTTTGAGCGAAGTTCAGCGATAAGTCAGCTTGAATTGCCAGTTTCGTGGTAATACGAGTGTCAAATCAGACTTGGTCAGCATAAACTTTTATTGGCAAAGTCATCAGCGAATCTGAACTATCCTAAAAAGAAATTTTAACGAGACCGAATTGGAAGCACCGCGTTATTTAGAAATATCTATAATTAACTGTTTATTAAATATTCTTAGTAATTCTTCCTTGACAAATATATATATATATACACGAACATTGTTTATTACCTCACCTAATAATGAGTCTTTAACTTGTCATTTTGTTTTCTATCACGCGTTCCTTTATTGGAAATAAATACAAACTTTAAATTAAAACATTTCCATTAGATTTTCTAAATCGCGCCGGCGGATGCACCATGTTGCATCGTAAAACGGATATATGATGGTGCAGGGATATGATCGTCTGTCGAAATAAAACTACGCAATTCCTTGGAGCACTGACTCCGCTTATTAAAGATAAAGATTGTCGCGATACCATGCTGATTATGAGTGCACCAAGCAATTATCCTGTCTATCGTAATCGCGCATTCTTGCTAACTATTTGCGGACATTACGCTGATGCGTATGTGTGTGTGATCGAGATTGAGAAAATAATCGTAGTTAGAATGTTGCACACTTATGCAGCTGCACAATTATGCAGAATTAAATTGTTATCGATAATTTTTCGCAGCACTTATGCGCACAAGCAATTTCAATGGAATCTGTGAAATATCGGTACCACGAATTAATGTTTATGCATATTACGTGCATAATGAGAAATCTTTATGGTGATGCTCAATCGTAACATAGGTAATCGCGGAAATCTTAAACATACATTAATTAAACTAAAAAGTCAGCATATGTATAATATAAAATAACATAATAAAAAATAATAAGCTTCCTATAGCTTTTTTAAAGCTTCACTTTTCTTAATTATCCAATCAGAGCACGCAACCGCATAATTACTTTAAGAACCTTCGTGGTTTAATTTTCAGTAATACGTAACTCTATGTCATTATGAGTAATTTCATGTCACGATATGATTAGATTGGTAACACGCAAAATTCTTACCAGATACTGCAAAGGATACTTCTTATAATTAACGCGTTTCTTAGATATTCGGTAATTTTACGATCTGATGCATTACTAATTTTTATAATATATAAATTCTATTATGCGATTTTAATTTCTAAAAATTTTGTTGGACTCATGTATGTTGTTCTCGAAATAATTGATTCAAGTGAAGCAAGCGTCAATTTATTTTACCAGCGGTAAATTATAAGTTTCAATTTCGCTTTCGATTAGTTTGATGATCTTCTCAACCGCGATTCTGTCACGCTGAAACATCGCGGCGGTTAAAATGGAAAATCATCCGTGATGAAACGAATTAACCGGTAAGTCCATAGAGAAAGCTAGCACGAAGAAACGGTGAAGAGAGAAATTTCGCTATTGCTTACTCGTACAATCGTATTTAAGCGAGTGTAATTTGTGCGCGTAACATTTAAACGTAATTGATAGTCCAATGGCATACAAAATTAAATATCACTAACATGTACATTTTGTAATAAAAAAGAGAACATATAATTGCAACATATCATAGTGATTAATCTGGATCTGCTCGTTTCTTTATGATAAATCTCCAGAACTCTCTCTCTCTCTCTCTCTCTCTCTCTGTCTCTCTCTCTCTCTTCTCTCCCCTCCCCTTCTCTACTCTCCTTTCAATCTTTAATTTTTTCTTCAGGATTATTATTTACTTATATATCATTGGCGTTCATGCCACCTATTACGCCATAAATTAAATTGCCCCAAATAATCGAACATAATTTCGATTTCATTACTGTAGCAATCTATAATTAACAAAATTATCAAGTGAAACAAATCTCGCAAATACGCAAACAATTTTATAATTATACAACTGCAAAATTTAATAAACAAAAATTTATATTTCGATATAATAAATTATTAAACAATTAATTTTTATTATGTATACACCATAAAAATTAATCTGCTTCGAAAACATATTATTAAAAGCAGACGATTAGAAAGTAGCAAAATATATACATGATGTTTGATATCACATTATTGCATGAGTGATTGAGTCTATTGTTTAAATTTGCTACAAGAAGATTGTTACGTCATTATAATAAAATATAAGACATGTGTCCATGCAACATAGTATAAGACAATTTGTATGAAAGCACACTTTGATTTGTCAGCATCAAGTCAGCAAATTTTACATAAGAGAATCAGCAAACTTGTCTACTAATAATGATAACGAATCTTTAAACTTGGACAAAATGTTCAAGAAATGACATTCGCTCATTTTTTTAAGAGCTCCTACAACGATTCTTCGTGCTTTTTTTACTAAGTGAAAACATTCTTAGATTCACGGACCGTATCTACATGGATTCCAATGATATAAGTGTGAACAAAACTTACGAAATATGTTCGCTTTTTTTCTTGATCTTATTTCGCTTTCGGCGACATGATATTCCGAATAATTTCGCAAGATAGACCATATGTCCTATAAGTTGTCGAACGAGTATCGAATGTGAATTATAGCGGTGAGAAATGGAAGTTCAGTAGCGTTCAATGTCCTTCGAAAGTATAACTCTGTTCTTTGCATCACACATCTATATATACCTCATCGTATGTATTAATTTATTACGAGCGTATCGATCAATTAAATTGATGCTCATTAAATGCTGATAATGACGACGAAACATCCATTGCATAAGTCATATCTTCGGCTGTCATCAAATTATATTAAAATGATCTTAATTTATTCGATTCATCATGAAATGTCGTCACATGGCTACCTTTAGTCTGTTATTATGTTATTCGTTTATGATCGTGCAGTTTTGTTAATTACTTTGAAAATTATAGTTTCTTCTTTTCATTTCTGTCTTCTATAAATTTATTTATGCAACGATTCAAATTTTCACATCAACTTTTTGCCACAAGAAAATTTTTTATTATTTAACTTTTTTTAAACAATTTTTTTAATCATCAGTTTGTTATATTTTTTCGTGCTCGCGTGCGTATTTTTCTATTTATTTAATATTTTTATTGATACTAGTTATACACTTTTCTAAATTATTGATTTTTTTATTGAATTATAAAAAAAAATTCAAATAATCAAATATTTATTTTATTGTCGTAAAAATAAATAAAAAGGCTGCAATAGACATAAAAAGTAAAATAGAAGAAAATGTGTTTGAAAAGAGCAATGCAAAAATTCTCGAAGCTAAGTGTTGACAATTAACATCTGATTTTACTAGAATTTCATTCGTTAAAACGCGGAGAAAGATGTAACAGTCGGATTGATCACAACAGGGAAGAGAGTGCAACGAACGAACTTTCCTTGGTCGTTTCAGTTTCAGATGGCTGACTGTTGTACCAGAACCGATACGGATTTTCTGGGTCGAGCCTCTCACTGGCCTACACTACAATCGCAGGCAAAAGTGACCATTGAAATCAGCCAGTGTACTCTCAAGTGAATGGATAGCTAATCCTGGATCGAATGTATTCTCACCTTCAACAAGGATACCGGAGATCGAGTATTAAGTTATTTTCTCTTTCCTGATTGTTCTGACTTTCAAGGACTTTTCGCTTTAACAAACATAATATCTTAGAAATTATTTTAGTTTCACAAAGCTTATTGAGTGATCCTTTACACGTTTGAGTCAAATAAATAAACTTCTCATATAAGTCTTACCTCTAATTGTACTCCGAAAAGATCTCTCGATCTTCCAGGTCTAGGAGCATTCAATTCTTGCATCTCGGATTCTCGTTCTACCAATCCCATTTCTTCAAGATACCTAAAAACACAAATGACAAAATTTAAAGTTTACAATTGCATTTTAATTTGAATTAAGTTCTTTCTATTTTTATCAATAATAACAATCTGTCTTAAATGAATATAATAGAAAAATTAATATAAAAACCAATACAATCCAATATTACGACAACTTTGCCAAATTAATGCATATTAAAAATATATTATAAAATTTCATCGATTGGCAACGCTTTTTTTTTATTAAAATAATGTTACAATATATGTATTTTATTAATCGTGATGGCAACAAAATAACGCAAATAGCAACGTTACAGTGACTGAATTTAACAAATATGCTTTTCTCTCTTCATAATGTATTATATCCGTTTCTAATTTCTTCTGCTTTTATAAAACGGTTAAGCATCATAAAAATGATATGTAATATATCATAAAATGATACATATAGCGAAACTAAATCAAAAGTTTTCTCAAAGAAACTATAGTAAACTGGTAAAATAAACCAACTGTAACAGAAACAAGGTGAGTTTGATATACGAAGCATTCTGCAGTGAAACATGAATCATTCGATGGAGAAAGACATAACAGTTATAAACGCATAAATGTCTGTAAGCATGACAAGCTCCGAAAAAAAAAATCTAGCTTTTATGAAAAGGAAATTATAAAATAATAAAAATCATCGAAGTAGTAGAGAGTCAAAAAAGTCCTTCTGATGAATATAAATATATTTTTAAATAAAAAGTTGATAAAAATTTATAAATTTTTGATGATGATGTATAATGTGTAAAATAGTAGAAAGGCATTAATAATTTATATCGACTTTAATATTATATTGACTTTAATTATATAACAAGAAATCAATTTAATCATAATCAATTTAAATGTTAAAATATAAATATGTATCTTGAAAAAATATTGTCATTATCAAGTTTATTTTATTGCTACTCATTTATATAATAATTTTATTTGGTTATTATAACATAAAAACTTTAATATAAAATCAAGGTTATTTTGGCTATATATACAAGTATTAAAAGTATTAGCTAAAAAATCAGTTAGGAAAGTCAACATTAATTAATATTCGCCAAAACATTTTTATCTATATTTTATTTTTATGAATACCTGAAATAATCTGGAAAAAAACAAAATAAATAATTTAGCTTATAATGGCTTTATACAGCAAAATGACCATATTTTACTGCAGTTTTAAGTAAATAATTTTAAACAAAAGTAACTTTTTTCTTGTACAAATATTTATTAGGATTTTATTAGTATATATAAAAAAATTGAATTTAATTTGTAATGCTATGACTTTATAAAATTTGCAAATAAATGATATTGGAATTCTAAAGACGATTAGTCAGATTGTAAATAGCACTTACACACAGACGATTTACGTGTCACTGACATATCATTACGTACTACTCAACTACTACATCAATATCTCACACACATATAGGTATATACATAAGTATAAAGTTTTATATAGCACGTAAGTATAAAGTTTCGTATAACAATAACGTTTTAATTAAACACCCAAGTCCAATTTTAAGAACTCCGCATTGTTTCTTCGTACAAACGTACTATATAATCTGTAGACTACTATTTCGTAAATACAGATTGCACAGCTTTTATTATTATAAATCAAAACTTATAAAAAGAAGAGCATAAAACCACAGCACAAATTATATTAATTATATATTAATTATATATATTTATTATAAAGCAAATATTGTCACAACGTGACAGCTCGTTAGACTAATTGTAAGAAATAGTAAAGAAGATCTCAATTTCTTGAAATCTTCATTTTTTTGTTATTCTCAGCATAAACTCAAATCTCACAACCACGTATTATATTAATGCGTATATTTTAATCCCAGAAAAAAATTTTTTAATCAGTAAAAGAGGAAAAAAGTAATTGTTATGCAAAAATTATATGGTTTAGTCGATTGTATAGATTACTTTAGGATCCCTTAAGAATTAAATAAACAAAAAAATTGTGAATAACTTAAATATATGTATTATTCGGGATCTACAATAGAAGTTGTAACGATCGTAGGGTCTTAAGTAGAAAATTAACAAATCATAGTCGATTATTTTTCTCATATTCGATTGTGATTGGTTAATTTTCTACGATTTAAGACTCTATGAACGTTACTTCTATTGTAAACCCCGTAAAAAGAATTGCTCAAATTTTACACTGATACTCAAACGTAAAAGTAAAACAATTTATAAAGTCTTTTTTTGGGATTTCAGTTAATCCTTAAAAAGAGTATTCTGAAATTCTTATATTTTCTCTTTTCCGACACACGATACTTTCACGTAAACGCTATTACTCCGTTGGCATTTAAAACAATTACGACGCGGTGTCATTACTGTGACGCGGCGCCGGGAATATCTCGACGCGACGCGACGCGACGCGACGCGACGCCCGCGCCGCACCATCGTCAAAACGTGCGAAACACTGCGCATTGTCTGGCAATCCGACACCGAGAAAACAATAAAGCCAAGCAAGAGTGAAGTGCTACGATGCTCACAAGAAGAATCAACTGTGTCGGCATATAACACTGGCAAAGTTTCTCGCGACGTGAATCATCACAGCAGTGTCGAAGTATTCGCGGATCGGTGGAGGCAAATGACGATGATTTCGACAACGTTAGAAAAGCAGAATCGCGTGATTTTACGAGTCACGAAAAGCGTGTTGATTCAATCAAAGAAGAAGATCGATGTACGGCTGCACTAGAGGAAGAGATAGGATGGGAGGAGGCAACGCGTCAGCAGGATATGCACCGCAACAATACGTCTGGGTAACGCGCACGAACAATGGACGATATGCAGCGCGTACGTCCTTGTACCGTTATCTCGTTCTCCACGGGATTATCCGCTAATTATTTGCAATTAATCGCAGAGCCATGCGCGCGACAGCATCGTCCTCCGTCGTCGCCGCATCGCCGCATGGACGGCGTGGGTGCGGATGACGATCTATCGTCTATCGCGTTACTACATCGGTTGTTAACGAATCGGCTATAACGAACGTCGTTGTGCGCCGAACCTAATTGCTTTCACCGCATAATTTGTAATTGCATTATTATCTCATTTCTGTGAGCGTTTTAATGCGTTGCGCAATTAGGCAGATACATAATTAATCGTTAGCGACTGCTAGGCTATCTTGTTCCGCGCCTTATCCTACTAGCACATCGCGTCGTATTACCTTGCTCTGCAAAATGATTACATTTGCTATAATTTTGTTACGTCTCACGTGATCATTTCTTTTATTTATATATATATATTCTTCCTTACTGTTGAAATTGAACTCACTAACGTCACTAACGTCGCATAACGTGTCGGCTCAAAGACACGCTTAAACAGTTTCGAAAATATCCTTCAAACTTTTAAATGTTTTTTAAACTTAATTTAGTTCAGTTTCAAATGCTGCTTCTCCCAATTCTGTAATTTCCAACTGCAAATTGGTACTGGTTGCTCCACTTCCCATGACGAAGTTAATTGAAGAGTAAAACTTCCTGTTTTCCGACAGGAATGTAAAGGGAACTGGAGTCATCGGTTACCAACGGTACAAGCTGTGTGTAAAAGGATTTATAGAGTTTTCGCGTAGCGAGACGTGGATTCTCCCGGCCACACGGTGCCCGCACACACACACACACACACACACACACACACACACACGTGAAGAGCTGGAAGCGGAAGCAGAAAACGACGATGCACGCTGGAGGAGGCGAGTCAGTCCTAACGGGATCGCGATACGGATCATTAGCGCTGTTTAATCTACGAGCGAGCATTCTAACGCAACCGCGCGTCGGAGCGACGTATTGTAAAATCAACTGCGTCACGGGAAGGAATAATCCTCTCTTCCTTCAATTTCCGCGCCGACGAAGCGTCTCCTGAGTCATCATCAACGTCACGTGATTTCCGCTACTGTGAAACGTTAGAGTTTTACGAACTACGATTTACTGCGACGCGCAATGCCGTGTATGTCGTCGTCTATTCTTCTGCTTCCTCAAGAAGTTGTTTGATCTGAGAAGACGTACTAAAGCGTAGTTACTAAAGAAACCATCAGAAACACACGATACTTCGCTTTGCTGCATTCACTCAGATATATCAGCTAATTGCGCAAAACGATCATTAGCGATGGATTCTCCAATCGATAGGAAAGGACGTTTTTGCAAGAGAAAGAATAATTAAAGTCGGATACCGTTAGTATCACGCAGCGTTCCCTAGTGTAAACAACGAACGCCACCCCTCCTGTCATATCCGATGCGAATGCACCGCTGGTCTACCGGACGATGGGCAAATAATAAGCAGTAATGACAACGTGGTGGATGTTAAATGTGCCGGCACATCATAGCCGTGAGTCTAATCGCAACCGGCGATCTTGACGAGCCATATCGTTGAAACTGCCATCCCTCTTTTACACTCACTTATCTTTTACCCTTGGCCTCATGTAAACGTCACAAATGTCTACCATACAATGGTAGATCGGCATTAACATATTATATACTTCGTATAAACCCTCATCCTCCTCGTCTGACAAAACATGGTCTAATAAAAAAAGCTGTTGATGGAAGTGAATTTTATAATATCGTAAGTTTTAATCTTTAAAATTAGAATTTAAAAATTTACACAGATATTGCGATACTTTCGATTCGTATGATAAATTCTCTTCTAAAATTTTATATTTTATTCCAACGCGTTTTTTCTTCTTCTTTTTTTTTTGTAAAAAGAAATAAAAACGGCGCAAATTTCCGCTTCGTAATAACGAGAGTACGTAGACTTATCATGATGCACAAAAGCTTATCACAGGTTAAATACGTACCTACTCCTAGAAAATGCAAGGAAGGTTAGTAGGAACAGGCGGGAATATTTTCATGGAATTGCAAGACTTGCATTAGCGTGCTCGTCCGTAGCCGGCTTCCGAGAACGCCCACACGTCCGTCAGCACGCGAGTCGGTTGATTTTGTTAAAGAAGACCATGCAAATGCGCGGTTTGCATTTATTTTCTGCGCTTAT